TTCTTGGTAAGAATTTTTAAATTATATATATATATATATATATATATATATATGCTCACAATTCCAAAACTCTTTTCTGACCACTTATGCCAATATTTGGTTTGGAAAAGAAGTTCACAGCAGGATTCCTGGGAAAGTGATTTAGATATTTTGCTGTTCTGAGAAAAGTAAATAAGTACATTATTTTCCCTACTTCTACAGATGGTAAATTAAGATGTAGAAAATTGATTTGCTGAAGATGACAGTGCAACCTAGAGTCAGGCCCACACTTGGGTCACCTTACATCTGGGTCGGCTCACTGTCCATGGCAGATATTTTCTACAGAACTTTTGCATCATCTTGGCTCCCTTGCAGCTTCAGACCAAGAGCTCATCTATTTTCAGCAGACAAACCCACTGGGGAAGAGAGAAGTTAACAGATGAAAGGAAAAGACACAAGGCTCAAGGACAGAATGAATGTCAGAGGTGGAATGAAAGCTTAAAAAAAAAAAGAATAGGGGCCAACCAAGAGAAATCAAGGATAACATCTAAATAGATGAAATTAATTTTATTCACAATGGCCTTTTTCTTCCATTTCCCTATAGAGCTCACAAAACATTTCAACCTCTTTCTTGTCTGAATCCCCTTGGCATTGTGTTTGTTCTTCCCTAAAGATATTTGATTCTGCCCTGCAATAACAAACTGCAACAATCACATCTTGACTAAACCAAATCATAAACTCTTTGAAGGCACAGTGTTTGAGACAAGTTTGTTTCCCCCATGGAGTTTAACGTGTGTCAAATAAATGAATATTAAAATATTCACAGCTGGAGTGAACTCCCTCCAAAATCTGAGCCATTTTTTATCTCCTATATGGAATACTTGCTTTCAAAATTTGATTTTCAAAACTTGAAGTTCTGTTAAGAAGCTGGGGACATAAGCACTTGACATAACATATAAATTAAAATTACCAACGTTAAGCAAATGAGGGTCAGGAAGGAGGCAGAGACTGTGCTGTGACTTGTGGATTTCAGAGTGCCTGGCTTTGAGAGAGAGAAGGTGGTTATTTCAGGCAGGCAGAGAGCTCTCCAACTCAGAGTCACACAGGGTTGGAAATGAACTGGCTCTGACAAACCAATCGTGCCCAAACTCTTCATTTTGCAGATGAAGAAACTGAACTCCAGGGAGATTATCTTGCCCAAGATCACTAAGCTAAATGCTGGCATAGCCTAGATTGAATCGTTTTTAAAATAAAGTACGGCGTGAAGCAATGTATTAAAAGCTTTCTGCAGAGACCCTGGATTAGAAACCCAGCACTTTAAACCATCAGCAAGTGCTTGACTACGGCTAGAAAAATAAATGGAGGTTACTGAACAAATCTATGAGAAAGTCAGGACTAAAAAAACCCTTCAGGCTGTTTTTGAGGTTGTTTGGTGATGTTCATTCTCAACACTGAAGACCTTCCATTGCTTTTGAGTCCTGATTTGATAAGCAGAGGTGGGCAGGAAAGGACAAGACATTCTTCAATTCATCTATACCTGTTACCTAAGAACACACAGTATGTACAGACTTCATCCCTTGAGGAGCATGAGACAGCCTCTCAGTTCTTTTGAGCATTCTCATTACTAGGGTGGAAGCTCCCCAATCAGCTGATCTAAGAAACCTAGCCAACAGCTCTATGCCAAAAGGACGACTCCTGTTCCACTTGAGAGGAATAAGCAAGGTGAGAGGGATCCACTCAGTAAAGAGGAATCCACATAACTCTTCTTTTCATCATCACTTTAATTCATTAGTGATTTTTCAGGCAAGTTTTATTTAGGCACTTGGAGACAGCACAGTGAGTCAGAGGTTGGCATCAAAACCAGAATAGAAGCCATAGATAGTCCTCTCAGGGGATCCTGCTCTGGGCTTTAAATTCCCAGATCACACAACTTCCTAATTGGAAAGAAATGTTCTTAAACAAGAACAAGGGTTTTGCCAGGCCTAACAGTGACTAATAAGGTTGGTCTGAGGACTATCTGATGAAAGAGAAGTTGGATTTATATGTCACAGTGAATGTTTACAGTATTTTCACCCCCGAGGTTTCCTGCAGAGTATAAATAAAATATCTCTCCAGTGGGCAATCCCATTCCAGCTCCCGCAGAAATGCCTTCCTTAATCAAATTAACTTTGAAATGACATTCAGTGTCTTCCTTCCAAATGCCTTTGTTTTCTCCAAGATCTTGGAGACAAGCTGTTTCAGGAGGTTCTCCTGTAAACTGATTAAGTTTCCCCCCAACCCCTCCACCCAGGCCTGCATACTCACTGGAGACAAGTTTTATCACCTCTATAGCTAGGAACGAGGATCCCTTACATTGTATTTATTTGTGTAGCAAATGGCCCACACACTTATAACAACAAAAATTTTTAAAAAATTATCTCGGGTGCTTACAGAGAACCCAGATAAAAACAAAATTTAAATCTTGCTGGCTGAAACTCACATAACCGAAAGCTAATTCCTGATTTGAAGGGAAAGGATTTTTTTTCCCCCCAGTCTTTTTTCAAATATCAGGCATTCGCGTTGGTAATGCAAAAGGATTTTGGCTTAAATACTTGAATTGGATGCTGCGGCTCGCCTCCAGGTTGCGGGCGCGCAGGCGCGGGCGGGCACACGTGGACACAGAGACACACTCACACGCGCCCGCCCACGCCCCCTTCCGTGTGAATTGCCTGCGGGATTTACGGGCTTTGCCACCGCGGATTACCATCAGGTGCAGAAAGCAAGTCTTTGTTCGGTGGGCATTTTCCTGCCTCCGGACCTGTTATTTACGGGCCACGTGAGGGCCGGCTGGGGGTCAGGAGGACGCGGAGGCGCCCCCGGCTTATGCCAGACAAAGGCTAGAGGGGCCCGGCCGTGCCGCCGGGGGACGTCTCCCAGCTCCTGCGACACGTGTGCAGTTCGCCCGGACCTGCCTCCGACTGAGAGGCTCTTCCAAGAGATGTCCAGTTTAAGTCCTTGTAAAGGCATCGGCGTTTTTCTGGAAGCGGATTCCAGGGCTGCCCAAGAGCGTCCCGGGGAAGCCGGGGAAGGTGGGCGCGCGGGGGGCTCCTTGGAAAGGGTGCGCTCCTGGTGTGCCAGGGACAGCAAGTCTTTACACAGAGCCTCACGACCACCTCAGCACGCGAGAAAACGGACAAAAGCCTTGGGAGGGAGTACAGTCCCGTTCCCAGCGGAGAAGCCAAGCAGCAAACCTTTGACTGGTGACCTCCCCTCCGGAGCGCCCCGCGGCCTCACTGGGTCCTCAGTGCTGGCCGCTCCTCGTGGGCCAGATGTCACGGGGAACCCGAAAATGAGTAGTCAAAATAAATATAGTGGCTTAAACAATTAAAATTAGCGCCGCCGCCCTCCCCCCCCCCCAAGTCCACGATGAATAAAATAGTAAATTCTATATAGAGGCGGGATCAGTACATCGCGGAGCTATTTTGGCGCCCTCGGCTTGGGCCTGGGGTCCGGGAGCCCGGACGCTGCGGGAGGGAATCGAGAGCTGTAGATTTCGGAGGTGGAGGCCGCCGCCGAGGCCCGGCTGGGGAGTGAAGGGGTGGCCCTGGGGGCCGGAGGCGACAGCCCTGGAGATCCGCTCCGCGGGGAACAAAGGCGGAGCGGAAGGCCGAGGCGGGGGAGGGAGCGGGTTCACCGGCCCTGTCGCCTCCGCCGGCCGGGAGCAAAAGACTCGACCCCGCTGCCACCGGGGCCCCGAGCGAGTCCCGTAATTCCCTGCTCGGTGGTTAATTCTCACTAACAAGACTTGGCAAGATGTCGGACGCATCATTTTTGGCTTCTGTCGTGTCCCCACCGCTGCGCGCACGCACCCTCTGCCAAAAGCGGCCTCTGGGAAATTAAATGCATAAGTAAAAGTGGGGGCGGGGAAAATGAGACCGGACCGGGAAAGAGGGATGCAAAGAAACCCGAATCGTCCCTGGGACGTATTAAATTCTTTACGCGTCAATTTCTCGGGGTCTAGTTTCGCACCAAATGTGGACCCTAATTGTCATTTCCTGAAAGACAATTCACACTAGTACGAGAGGCGTGAGGACTTTTCCAAAAGCCGAAAATGTCTGGCCCCCCACCCCCCATCAGGGTTAAATAAACATCTTTAGGAAGCGTGGAAGGGAGTGGCACTCCGCCTTCCTCCTTGGGAACAACATTCCGGATCCAATTAATGTCTCCCTCTGGGTCGTAAAGCAACAAACTCAACACTTCACTCCTATTACCGGGTTTCGGGGCGCGAGGGCTTTCTCTTTCATCTTCTGGATTCGGGTTTGCCCACGTTCCTCGGGAGCTATAAAACTGATTTAATACCTTAAGATGAAAATCGATCAGGCTAAGGCAGAAGCTAAAGTCTGGGAACTGCAATTGAAAAAAACAAACAAAAAAAAACGCCTGGCGGGCCGAACGCGCTCCGTAAGCCTGGGGCGAGGAGGGCCTGGCTGGGCCGGCTGCGATGCTGTGTTTCCCAGTCCCCTGGATACGAGGGGGCCACCTGCGAGGCTGGCAAGGGGGAAGCGCGGAAGTAAACCGAGATGAAAGCTCAAAACCGAGTCCGCCCTCCGATAGGCCAGCTTCTCGGCTGGCAATTTTTTTCCGCAGATCATCGCCGCCACCACCGAGGCGGGGGTGCAAGGCAACTCGGGTCGGGCTGGACGCGCGCGCAGGCTGGGGAGAGGCGCCGCCACGCTCCATTCACAAAGTCCCGGCGCAGCCGCTCGCCAGCGGGTCGGAGGCCTCCTCCCTCTTCCTCTAGGTCTCGGTTTTATGAATGGGCCTGGCGGCGACCGCCGCGCGCCCTGTTTACTCCGCTCTTTGTGACGTCGCGTCCCCGTGACCAGGAGCGAGCGGCCGGCACTCCATTCACGCGCCGGGGCGCGCGGAGGAGGTGGGGCCGGAGGGGCGGGGGGAGCCGCCGGGGGGCGGGGAGCGGGCGCGGGGGGCGGGGCGGGGCTCGCGGCCGAGAATGGAAAGAGGCGGAGCCTCGCGAGGTAGTAATGCATCTGCCCCCTCCCGGGGGAGAGCCGAGGAGCATTAATAAATCTATACGCCGAGGAGAGGAAACTCTGACTGGGGCAGAGCGCGGAGCTCCGGCAGTTCGTGGGGGAACAGCGGCCGGATCGGCAGCGCAACGGGCAAAATACAATAGAGGCGACAACAGAAGGGAGCCCTCGTACCTCTCCCGTAAACACACTCCACTCCACTGCCACCTGCCCCTTGGCATCGTGCTGCCCGGCACCCGAGGCCGCTCGGACTGCTATGTAACCGAGAAGCTGCCGGAGGAAGGGGGAACCCGGGAAAAGAGGTTCGCCAGTGAGAGCCCCTAGGGGCCAAGTTTGCTGCCGCTTCTGCCCGCGCGCGCCCTTTCGTAGTCCCCCGCTCACCCCTTCCTGGAACCCAGCTCGCCCGGGCGTCTTTCGCCTCCTCGCGTGCCCAACAGACGCGGTTCCCGGCGACCATGGTGACTGTGGACGAGCTGCGGGAGATGGACTGCAGCGTGCTCAAAAGGCTGATGAACCGGGACGAGAACGGCGGCGGCGCGGGCGGCAGCGGCAGCCACGGCGCCCTGGGGCTGCTGAGCGGCGGCAAGTGCCTGCTGTTGGATTGCAGACCGTTCCTGGCGCACAGCGCGGGCTACATCCGAGGCTCGGTCAACGTGCGCTGCAACACCATTGTGCGGCGGCGGGCCAAGGGCTCCGTGAGCCTGGAGCAGATCCTGCCCGCCGAGGAGGAGGTGCGCGCCCGCCTGCGCTCCGGCCTCTACTCCGCCGTCATCGTCTACGACGAGCGCAGCCCGCGCGCCGAGAGCCTCCGTGAGGACAGCACCGTGTCGCTGGTGGTGCAGGCGCTGCGTCGCAACGCCGAGCGCACCGACATCTGCCTGCTGAAAGGTAAACGCGGGCGCCGGGCGCGAGCTGGAGGGTCGTCGGTGCGGCGGAGCTGGGCGGCCTGCACGTTAGTGGGCAGGAGAAGAGGTGCCTGGGGGTATTCGTGGCTGCAGGATTCCCCCCATGCGCTCTTTTGTGCGTGTTGGTGTGCGCGCTAGTGTGCAAGGATTCTGTGCGTTTGTGTGCAAGGATTCTGTGCGTTTGTGTGCAAGCGCGAGCTCCTGAATTCCTCAGAGATGGTGAGGGCTCAGTCACCTGCAATTCCGGAGCCTTCCCGGCGATTCTGCATTTGTTTACACCCACTAACGGTCTGGCCTTGCGGGAGAAGCGACTCAGCAGCTTTTCCACCTTCGAGTCCAGGGAAGTGCTCTCAAGTGCCACTACGCGGGAGGTTGGGGACAGGTTAGGCCTGTTGGTTTGGCGTGGCCGGGTCCCGCACCGATTTCGAGACGTGGGGAAGAGAGGGAAGGAGGGTGGGCGCCGGGGTGCGATCGATTCTGCGGCTCCTGCTGGAAAGCAACCGTTCATAAGTGCAAAAACGAGGGTCAGCTTGCGGGCTTGATGTGGAGCAAATCCATATCTCCTCTCCTGCAGCCCAACTCCGAGCTTCACCAGGAAGGGTGGCCAACCCCTCCCGCCTCGGGCTAGACCCAGGCTCCGGAGACGGAGGGCCCAAGCTCCGGGGACGGAGGCAGGAGGTCCGAGTATTTGCGGGGGTCGCCAAGCGGGACGAGGCCTCTTAAATGAAGGGAGCTGAGAAGTAACGACCTTTTGTTCAGACTCAAGACTCTCAGATGGCGGCGCGTGCTTAAGTGCGAAACTCTACGGGAGGGGAGGTCTTATCAAATCTGCAAGTCGGTAACTCCAAAAGGGTCGAAGGCTACCCAAGTACCTGGAAGGACCCGGTTGCCGGCCGCACCTGCCGGGCCGGGCCGGGAGCGGGCGAGTCGTTGGGGCCCCGCGGCGCTGCGTTCCCCGCTTCCACCCGCGCCACATTCCGCGCATTCCTCAGCCCGCTGCGGGTCCTCGCCGCCCCAGGACCCGAGGGAGGCGTTTCGAACCCCCGCCATCAAAGGGCCGCCCCTTTCCCTGCCGGCGCCCCTGGCCCCCTCCCTCCTGCCTTTCCTCTCCTGACCCGCTCACCCGAGAGGAAGGGAGATGGGGCGGGAGGCGCGGCGGAAACCTCTCCCCACCGCCCCTTCCAAAAAGCACGACCACACCGCTCGGAGCCGGGGGGCCGGGCTGGCCCCTGTGAACAGCGGGGGGCTTTGTTCTCGGCAGTTGTTTCCTGGCCATTTGACCTGTCAGCTGCTGGGGAAATGCTGTTGACCTTTGGTTGAACCATTAAGGCGATTTTGCTGATTTTTCTTTCTCTGCGAGGGCGGCCTTTGGCACCTCTGATTGGGCTCATCGCTCCTCCCTTCTCCTCGCAGCGCTTTAAGGGAAAGTGCCAGGAAGGGCCTTGCACCGGAAGGACCCGGCGCTAAGCGAGGCGACCTGGGCGCAGGGGCCAAGGGGCCTTCCCCGGCGCCGAGGTGTGCCGGGAGCCCCGCGGCCCCGGACCGGGTGGAGCGCCGGGATGGGGTCCCCGCGGTAGAGCACGCCGCTCGTCCTCCCCTGCGTGGTGCTGGCGCACGTAGGGGCGGTGAGAGAAATTTCTCTGGGACGAAAGCCCCTTCGAGTGGCATGGGCTGGCCGCGGTGTTCTCCGAGCCGTGCTCACCTCGATCGCTCCGGATTTGGACCCCGATCGCGCGCCTGCCTGCTTGGCCCCGGAACCCGGGACCCTTCTCGAGGCAGAGCAGAAGCACGTGGCGTCTGGGTTCGTTTTGTTTTCTTTTTTTTTTTTTTTTCTGGAAGAAATCCAGAGAGGACCGCCCTAGGGTTTCCGGGCGCGCACTTAGGCCCCGCTCCCGGCGAGAGAAGCAGATTTTTAAGGTTCCCTCTTGGGGCTCTTGGCACCTGCCTGGTTCCCCCCGAATCCCGCCGGGAGAGCCCGGAGCCAGATCTGTACCGAGAGCCGCCGCGCGGGCCGGCCGCCGGGCGCGAGGCAAATGCTAGTCTGTGGGGTCGGCAGTCCCCTGGCGGTTGGCGAGGTGCCTGGCCGAAGGAAAAGGAGTGCTTTAAGGGCTGTTTCCTCCCGAGGCCTGTACTGCCTCCTGTTGTCTGACCCGGAGCGCGGAGGGCGGACCGCTGCTGCCTCTCCAAGACCGCATCCTCTGAGCTGGGGAGGGTCATGACCTGGGCGTGGGGTCCAACTTCTCTTTAGAGGCCCTCCCAGGAGGGGCCAGGAGGGGGTTCAACTGGGTCTTTATAAGCACTGGGAGCCTGCCTTTGGAAGCAACCGCCTAAAATTCAGAGATTGTGGGGAGGGGGGATACCTCCTTCCAGCTTGTTCTGCAGTGGTGATAGAACATCTTTGAGGTTAACTGGTTCATATTCTATTCAGCTCAGCTTATTTTCATTTAGGTGCTAAGCAGAGGCGGTCTTCACACAGTTCCTTTTCCGTCTCCTTGCCTTTCCCCGCAAAGGCACCCCCCAGTGAGGGCAGAAGGAAATGGGCTCCCTTGGCGCTGCGGGGAGGTGCGCCTGGGGGCGGCCAGTGCAGAAGCCAGCGGAGCAGCAGGAAACGTGGGTTCCTCGCAGGAGGCCCTGGGGGCAGGAAACTAAAGGGAAACGGGAGGAGACAAGCCGCTTGTATTATCTTTAGTAAATGCCTGAATTGCTGAGGGGTTGGGTAATTTGGAAGATTCCTCCCACCCACCAAGTTCCTTTTATTTTGCGGCCAGTGGGGCCTTATGTGTGACCTTTCATGTGAGGTGGTGGGTGAGGAGTAAAAGTGGTTAGACATTAAGCCCGTGGAAGACTGTTGATATCTGCCATCCTAAGGGACAGTAAAAATAGCTGGATATTTTCAGAAGTTCTGTTACCCTTTCTGGTCACAAGCTATGGACTTTTACCAATTAACGGCATTTAAACAGCTGATTTTTCTATTTCTGCCACTTTGAAGGGCAATTAGTTATATAGTGCAGGTAGTTAATAACTAATACCACAGGGAGGAATTTGTAGTTAAGAGAAAACTTTACTTAAGATCGAGGCAATGCTAGGGGCTGGCGTTTACAATTCCGAATAATACCCAAGGTTTGCTAAAAGCAGTAACCCAAATCACTACATTTTCTGATCATTTGGCTAGTTAGTCTTCCCACTGGGGTAAAACTCATTTTATTGAAAACCCTGTACGGCATTTTGGGACAGTTTAGAGATTTCAGCTTTTCATATTTAATTATATTACACGTTTCTTTAGAAATCCTTTTCTCTTTCCTTCATAGATCCTTGGATTAGGGTTTTAGACCCCTTCCCCTCAGTAGAGAAAGACAAAAAGAGCATTTTTTTTTACCTTAATAGAAGTCATTCTTTACTTTTCACATCCCCCAAATAAGAGATCAGTCTGTTACACAGAAGATTTCGGGTATATAAACATTATCTTACTTTTTCTTCTGTCTAAAGTTTTTCTCAACCTGTGACTGTTGTCAGTTCTTACTCAAGTTCTGGTTTAAAAGCCATCCTGGAGCTGTTTTGAGAAACTGGGAAGATCAAGATACTGCAGCTTCTCCTTCCAGGTTGGAAGTCACATACCCGATAGTCCCCAAGCTTGATTATAGAGACCTGACATGATATCTTCAGTGCGAACAGCGACTGAGGCCCATCATGAGAGCTCTGGGCAGCGGTCAGGCGGCTGTGTTCTGTCTTTTCTCTATGCCCATCTGCCCTGCCCATCCTCATTTCCAGGTCAGTGGCACCAAATGGCAAGTCCTGGGGGATGCTAAGGGCAGCTCTTTCACCCAAAGGCAAAAGGACTGGCTTTTCTCCTCGCGAACAGGACACAATACTCATGAGAGCTGAGAACTGTTAGTTACAAACATAAATAAGGGTAGGCCTTAAGGGTAGTTCCTAACCCGTAGTGTGAGGCTGTCAAGAGTTTTAAAGAATGAGGCCAAGTCACCACTCTTTGCATCATCTGCACTGGATGTTTCCAGTCCACACAAGTGACTAAAGACGGCGTAGGTGTAAACTGGGAGTGACTCCTGATTGTCAGAAAGTCCATCTCACCCGCCTTGGGCTTGTCTTGGATGCATATAGGAAAGGTAGGCTGCCCTTCCCCAAGGTGGGCTGCACAGAGAACTGAGAGGAGAAAGGTGGCCTTTTTAAGGAGCCAAGGAATTCCTTAAAAAAAAATCAGAACATCCGAAACCAGATAGCTGGTTTCCTTCCTGGAAGGCAGTTCCCGTTTAACTAAGAGGAAGTTGGGGAGGAAGAAATCTAGACTAGACGGAAGCCAGAGTGCTGAAGGGAGCAGATGGCAGAGAAGGACTGGGAGGGGCTGCAAAAGAGATCCAGCCGCGGGTGTGACCTCGGGTGCCCAGCAGCTGCTCGGGACACCAGAGGTGTCAAACCCGGGACTCAGAGGTCTTGGCCGGTGACCCTGAGATGAGCCCACGTGTGTAAACCGGAACTCTTGGAAGCTCTCAAAGCCAGAGGACCTTCAGATGTCCCCAGATTTTGCCTGCTGGGCAGTGTTTGCTTGGTATTGATAAGATGTCCCAGGACAGCAAGCCCATGAGCCCTGTTTGTGAACAGGTTGATATTGTGAGTGTAGAGAGGGTAATAGGAGAAAAGTGGCAGCCACGTTAAGATCCGCGCCCATCGTCACCACTAAGAGACCGTCCTTCCCATCACAGACCCCATTAAGAGTCCTATCACAGCGAGATGACGGGCACTACAGCAGCCTGTCCTTTGAAAGGACTTCGCACACATCACCTCCCACCCCACCCGCCTGAGCAGTGGGCCAGCCAGTTTCACAGTTCCTGTCAACTTTGAAAACCACCTTGCTGTCCGTGTGAGAAGACGGAAAGAACACAGAGTTGAACCATAGGCGCAGTTATTCCTCAAGGAAGCTGGGTAGAAAATTATAGTCCTTTCTGCCCCGCCCCCTCCAGACACTCTGGTTTTAAAATTAAGATGAGAAAATGAGAGCTTTAAGGCTAGAAGGTATATTATTAAATAAGAACATGGGAAAAACAGGTCAAAATTAGTCAGCATATCTGTTACTGAATTAACACGCAACAGGACGTAGGGGGAAAAATGGTGGGAAATTCACTGACGAATGTGTTGTGAGATTGTGTTCAGAAGGTGGAAATACACAGGTCTGATGGGAACATACCTGCTGTCAGTTGATAATCGGCAAGTCAGTTGATGACCATCCAGGAGCACAGAATGCTGGAACTTGGAGATGATAGCGTCTGGAATCCTTGTGTTCTGAGGGTGGAAAATGGGGCGTAGGAGGGGATGTGTCTCTTCCGGCTCCTACAGTCAGAGCTGTGGCTCCTCTGCACCCATCTGCCTCCCCATCCCCCCACAGAGCTCCAAGGCCACGGGATAGAAGCTCCCCCATCCCACCCCACCATGTCTGCAGTGGCAATAAACTTTCCCTCTCATGAGTTCTGGATAAAACTTGGAGGTCTAAATCTAGCTCTTGGGACTTCCCTGGTGGTCCAGTGGCTAAGACTGTGCACTCCCACTACAGGCAGCACAGGTTCTATCCCTGGTCGGGGAACTACGATCCTGCATGCTGCAGGATGTAGTCAACGATAAAAAAATACAAATAAATCTCGCTCTTGCTGGAAGGGTTGTGGCTATGGTACCTGCACAGATGTGAGCTGGGAAGGGAGGCACTGAGGGGAGAGGCTGAAAGCAGTCTTCTTCCCCGCCACCCCACATAAGAGAGTTTTGTTTCCATCAGGACCTAGTACAGGGCTACTCTATATACTTCTAGAGGATCTGACCCTTTTTTTTAAAGTGAAATGATCCATGTGTTTATTACATAGTTTGAGCTCTTAAAATACATTTTCCTCCAAGAGATGTAAGACATGAGTGGTGTCCTGCGGCAGCTCCTGGCCTGGCCAGGTGTCTGTCGCCCTGTTCTGGGGTCGTGCCTCACTGCAGCACGTGCCATGTACGGTCTGGGAAAAGAAGAGCCAGCAAGTGCCTTTAAGTGCCAGGGAAGTCCCCATGATGGGGGACCATCGCTGTGAAACCAGAGTGCCATGAAATTATACCCTCTATAAATGCAGTGCTTTCACGTTGTTTTTATTCTGTTTCATTAAATTAAAAAAAAAAAAGCTGGTCACGACTCCTCCATAACTACCTGGAGTTCGAAAAGCATCGGAGAGAAGCAGAGTCCAGTGAAATGTCAGCAGTGCCCTGTTCACATTCTTTCTACTTCTGCATCAAAATTCTTTCCTAGAGTGATGAACCACTGCGGGGGCCGGGGGTAGGGGGGCTTAGAGAAGGGCCACTGGAGAAAGCAGCGGTGGGCAGGCACCAGGACGGGCTCCTGATGACCAGGTTCCAAGTGACTTTGAGGCCCCTTTTGTGGGCTGAATGCCCTTACGTGGGGGCCGCCGTGCAAGTTTTCTCTTCTGTTAAATTGGGGCTCGGCACGCCTTCCTCCAGGGCTGCTGGTTGTATACCAGGGTGGGAAGAGCCTGACACATAATGAACATTTCCTTTTAAGAGGGTCTGTCATTTTTATTAGCCTGGATGGGAGATGGCTTCCTGGGGTGTGGCCTGAATGGCCTGCACTCCTGTATCTGCACTGCATCACCTGAGAGCTCCCGACTCCACGAGGGTGTGTTCTATCATCTGAAGTCCTGGCCTGACTGCAGCTCCTAGCCTCAAAAGGAGGTTCTTTGGTGATGCTCCTTGTAACTACCAGTCACAGATCCCCCACAGCTAATGACAGCTCCAGAGGGAAATCCTTTCCCTTGCTCCCATGGCAGGGACGCCACTCTCCCTTTTGCTCCTGTCTCCTGAACGAATCTTCTTCACTTAGCTCCTTTCTGCTTCTTCTTTGAAGATCTCCAGAGCGAATGGACTTTTCAGTGATCATTTTGCATTGTCTCTCTGTCCTATTATGTGCAGCCTTGGGGAGACGACAGGTAGCCCCCCTTTCAAGCCTGGTCTGGTCTCTGGGCCCGCCCACACCCTCCCCCACCCCCCACAGCTGCCACACCCCCAGGGTCATTTACAGGCTGGGGACCCCTCCAGGGTTCTGCTGCTCCCTGGGGATTGATGGATGGTCAGCCCGGGAGGTAGCAGATGTCCTTGACTGGGCAGGGGCCGTGACACTCAGGAAGTGCCTGGTACCTGTTCTGCCGCCTAACTACCAGCTCTCCAGATGCCCACTGGAAAAAAGAAGGAAAGCCTAGGAGGAGAAAGCTGTCTGGAGTGTGAGAAGTTGTCAGTGAAGCTGGAGTCCCCTTAGGTACCAAAGGAGGAAATGTTCATTGCATGTCTCCCTGGGGCCAGGCACAGCGCACTGGCTGTTCCGGTCAGTCCCCAACGGAGACTGACCTGGAAGTTTCATCACATTTTACAAATGAGGAGAGGCTCAGAGAGGTTCAGAGATGTTCAGAGATGTCTCCAGGTTGCACAGCCCATGATTTATTCACAGGGCTGGCATTCAGCCCAAAGCTGTGTGTCTGACTGCAAAGGCAAAGCCCTTTCCCTTCCGTCTGGTGCTCTGTCCCGAGCCTTCTCAGCAGCGGGAAGAACATTCTTTCTACCACTGAGGTTCCTTGGCTCCTCCTGCCCTCAGATCTGCTGCTTCTCTATGACCTTAGAGCCTTGCCCTAACCTTCCTGTGACTCTGCTGGCCTGCCTGTCCAGGTGATGAGCTTTTTGGAGGGAACCTCTCAACGTCTTGTATCTCTTTGAGATGTATTTTCATAGCTCAAATTATGTAACAAATACATAGATCCTTTCACTCAACTTTTCAGATCCTCTGGAAGTACAGAATAGCAAGTGATGGTGTTTCATTTAGACGATCATCGGTTTGTAGATGGACCCACTTCTCCTTTTACTTTCTCCAAAGGGCAGCATTTCCCCAAGTTTCCATCCCAGAGGCCCATCACAGGGGCTTCAACTAAAGGCCCTTGCCGGCTCTCCTTGCCCATAGCCTGCGTTTGGGGCGGAAGCGTTGGCAGGTTTATAGGCGAAAAGGAGGGCTGCTCCTGTGACAAGAAGCCCACTCAGGCCACTAGCACCACTGAAGACGGCAGGACTGGGCCCTCCAGCAGGTTTTCCCTCCAGGGAGGCTGGTCATTATGACTCAGCAGGAGCGAGGGCCTGTGGCCAAGAAGTGGCCGTTTACAGCCTGGGGGAGGGAAACCGGGAGCCTCCCGCTCAGAGAGGAAAAGATGCCTGCCCTGTTTCTGGAAGCCTTACGATGTGGCAGAGGATCATTTTCTTTCCCCTCCAGAGCGGTAGTGTCTAGGGTTGGGATTCAGGGCAAGGAATTAACTAGCCATCACATGTTGGAAAATTGCTTTGAATGGTAGGGCTAAAGAACAGTGGCACCCACCCTATCAGTCATAAAGGTGTAACGGGCCAGCTGCCTATGTGACCATCCGTTGAGTGGTTGTTCCACAACATGCAGACCCTGCTGAGTTCATTTATAATCTATTTTTGGTCCAATAGTAACTGCAAAATAAAAATACAAGCAGGAGGATTCCCTCTTGATCCAGGGGTTGAGATGTCAGCTTCCAACGCAGGGGGCACAGGTGTGATCCCTGTTTGGGGAGCTGAGATCCCACATGCCTCAGGGCCAAGAAACCAAAACACAAAACAGAAGCAATGCATGCATGCTCGGTTGTGTTCGACTCTTTGTGACACCGTGGACTGTAGCCCACCAGGCTCCTCCGTCGAGGGGACTCTCCAGGCAAGAATACTGGAGTGGGTTGCCATGCCCTCCTGCAGGGGATCTTCCTGACCCAGGGATTGAACCTGCGTGCGTCTCCTACACTGCAGACAGATTCTTTACCACTGTGCCACCTGGGAAGCCCCCAACACACATCCAATCAAGACTCCAGAAATGGTCCACATCAAAACAGAAACCAACAACAACAAAAATAAAAAGGGCCAAACCTTGACAATAATAGATGGTAAGTTTCCTGCAAAGCAGAGTCCCAGAGTGCACGAGACACAGGCTGATCTCTTCTTGTGTGTTTGCCTGCCCGCCTCCGCCTGCATCTCTGCCCACCCCTGCCCAGCCGCCCTTTCCTGAGTGGCACTAACGCTACTCCACAGAAGGTGGCCGTTTGTCTCCTTTTACTTAAATGACCTCCCTTCCCCGAAAGATGATCCTGCAGAGAACTATTCCAGGGCTTAGCAACTCTCAGGTCAGGAAATCCTCCCGTGCCCCAAACCTGGATGAGGCAAGAGGGATTTGTTTAGATTTAAGCCCGTTTCCTCTCGTTTTGGCCCCTTGTTGATGGAACAGCTGTTCATGAGGCTGTGTGATTGGCATCTGTTCTGACGCTGAGGTCCAGAAGGGCTGGTGCCAGGATAATAGTTTTTTTATTCTCTCCCACACTGGAGAACCTCTCCAAAAGAAGAGCTGGAGTTGGGAGATGACAGACATCTTTGTGGGTCCCAGGACTCAGTTGTGGCCTCATGAAAACCCCTAGTGGCCCTTGCCTCTTTCTTTGTCATCACTGTAAAGAAAGCATCCCTTCTTCATCTCCCCCTGCACATCCTCCTTTGTGTATCTGCATTCTAAACGGAAGTCTTGTCCCTAAAGCTTTTCTTCCAGCTTTTAGGATGCGTTCTTCCCCAAGGTAGTCTCCCCATCTCTGGAAAAAGGTCTCCTTAGCCATTATCTCTGGGCCCACAGCGCCACCCAGTGGCCAGTGGAGGTGCAACCAGCCCTAGCTTCCCAACTGCTCTCCTCTATGAAGGGTAGGGTTCAAGTTCTCCCCTGGTTTGGTTTCCTGCTAGCTCAGTGACCCCATTAACCCAAGCATCTTTCTCCTTTACAGGTGGCTATGAGAGGTTCTCCTCCGAGTACCCAGAATTCTGTTCCAAGACCAAGGCCCTGGCAGCCATCCCTCCCGCTGTGCCCCCGAGCACGGCGGAGTCCCTGGACCTGAGCTGCAGCTCCTGTGGAACCCCCCTGCACGACCAGGTGGGGCTGAGATCAGACTTCTGCTTGTCGGAGGCTCAGGACTCAGGGCCCCAATGCTGGGTGAATTGATGAACCCTGAGTGTTGGGGTGCGACCTTAGGTGGAATCCATTATTCTTTGAAATTCTTCCCCTTCCTTCTCTCATCATCTTTAAAAAAAGAATATAAAGACCTAAGTCCCTGACTTTGCTCCCAGAGTTATGTGCAGACAAGTAAGGAGGCCAGACGTGTGTGGGCTGCTCTGTAGGAAGCTGAGACCCCAGCCCTGATTCAAAAGAGTCAGAGCTGTCTGCCCCCCATATAAGCGAATTGTAAATGCTAAGTGAACATCAGTAGGCAACTAATCCTTCTCCTAAGAAAACCAGCTCATGCCACTATGATTCTTAGAAGCACACCCCCTTCCAGCCCTCTCCTTTAGACAGAGGTGGAGTAGATTGATGGGGTCCTGCAACTCTGCTCCCCAAATCCCACATCACTCGCGTTGATCTGCCTCAGAATAGTGTCATCAGCGAAGCCAACATAACCTCCTTTTGCCAGGATCCCTCCTCTTGTTTTTGAGGTTGCTCTGGCGTCTGTTTTTGATCTGCAGCAAGTAGCTTCGTGGTAGCAGGTGTAAGCTCCTCACATCACACAGACTGTGGAACAAGGCCAGCGCTGTGTCTCCTGCTTCATTGGTCACTGGGGGCGGGGGAGTAGGCTGCTTGAACCAGAGGGGGGGGCCCAGCATCAAGGCCGAGCCCAGCATCAAGGCCAGAGAGGTCCCACTGCGCGCATCACTCCCTCCCGGAGCCCCAGCAGGACACGGGGAGACCAGGAGGGGCTGGGTCCACAGGCCATCTTCCCAGGACCTGTGAAAGCGCCACCCCGCCACCCCAGACTGGCTTCCCTCTCTCTCCCCGTCCCACCACCCCAGCCCTCTGTTCTGTCTTACACTTATGATGTTTGGGGGGCCCCTTTGTTCTCCCCTTCTGCAGGGGGGTCCGGTGGAGATCCTGCCCTTCCTCTACCTCGGCAGTGCTTATCACGCGGCCCGCAGGGACATGCTGGATGCCCTGGGCATCACGGCCTTGCTGAATGTCTCCTCCGACTGCCCGAACCACTTCGAAGGACACTATCAGTACAAGTGTATCCCGGTGGAGGACAACCACAAGGCCGACATCAGCTCCTGGTTCATGGAGGCCATCGAGTACATCGGTAGGCTGGTCCTGGCCGGGGTGCTGGGTCCAAGGACGGGGTGCTGGGTGCAAGGCTGGCAGAGACAGGAAGGGAGGGAAGAGGGAACCTCTTGGAGCTGGAGGGACTTAGGAAGGGCCCTGCCCAGAGGGTGCCTATTTTCCCTCTTTCTCAGTGGGAAGGCTGGCCCGTGGGGTGTTGAGTTGCTCAGGGGTAGGAAGATGGACTTACTCAAGCCGCAGGCACTGTTAGCTGATAGAGCCAAGAACCTTTGCCTTGGGTGTCCCACCTGCCAAGCAGATAAGACTTTGGGGGGTGGGGAGGAAGGCCCGGAGAGAACTGGGTCATTGTTTTTGCTCCGGCAAATGAAAACCCCTCTATGTGTGCTGGCACCCAGCTTTAGCATGTGTATTTTCTAAGCCTGGCACATTTGTTTGGTTAAGTCTCCCAGGTAGCCTAGAACTGACGGCCTTGCCTGGCCCCGTGGGTTTCCTCTCCCGGCCTCAGCCTCGGAGGGCTGTTCCTTCCGTGGTACAGAGGGAGGGCCCCGACCAACGCTTCTCCGATCCTTCCCCCAGCGCCCTCGTCCCGCCCGCGGGACGGACGGTGGCTTGGGGACGCTAACGGGCGCGCGGCTCTCTGCCCCAGATGCGGTGAAGGACTGCCGCGGGCGCGTGCTGGTGCACTGCCAGGCTGGCATCTCCCGCTCGGCCACCATCTGCCTGGCCTACCTGATGATGAAGAAGCGTGTGCGGCTGGAGGAGGCCTTCGAGTTCGTCAAGCAGCGGCGGAGCATCATCTCGCCCAACTTCAGCTTCATGGGGCAGCTGCTGCAGTTCGAGGCGCAGGTGCTGGCCACGTCCTGCGCGGTGGAGGCCGCCAGCCCGTCGGGGCCGCTGCGCGAGCGGGGCAAGGCCACCCCCACGCCCACGTCACAGTTCGTCTTCAGCTTCCCGGTCTCCGTGGGGGTGCACCCGGCCCCCAGCAGCCTGCCCTACCTGCACAGCCCCATCACCACCTCCCCCAGCTGTTAGAAGCCTCGGAACACCCCCCCACCCACCACCACCAGCCCACGTCGGGTGGGGCCCCGTGGCCGGGTAGCAGGTCCGGACTGACCCGCAGGGGGCCTGGCGACAAGCTCCTTCCATCCATCTCTTTGGCCGACCGTGGGGCCAGCTAGAATGGCAATAAGGACCTCGAATACATATTTAAACGCAGACAAACAAAACACTCCAACTTAGAGCAATAACGGCTTCCTCGGCAGGCAGGGAAGACCTGGGTCTTGGTTTGTGTCAGTTTTACTTTTCAGATAGGAATTTCTTACCTCATTTTTTTTTCCTTTTTTTTTTTTTTAAAGCAGTAAGGCTTCAAGTTAGGAAACCCACAGATCCTGGCAAATGTGCCCTCCTGGTTTTATTAAGGGGGAGACGGGTGGAGGGGAAGGGACAGGGCCGAAAACAAGTTGACCAGAAGTGCCTGCTTCTGTGTGCTGGTCCTTTTGTTGTAGTTACAGGATTTTTTTTTTTTTTTGGAAGAAAGCTTTTAGGACATGGTTTTCCTTTCTAAGTCTCCACCAACAGGTGAATACTTATGCTTAATAATAAATAAAAGTATTTATTGAGAATTTGCTCAGAATATGTAAGTACACAAAGTCTAGTGACCGTGATTTTAGAATATATTGATGTTGGTGTGAACCGGCGGAGCACAGCAGCATGCAGACGTCAACGCAGTAAGGAAGTGGTGTGTTTGAGATGGCATGACGATCAACTTGCATTTGCTACCGCTGAGAAGGGGTCAGGGTGGGGTGGGAGGAGGAGAAAGGGAAGGGAGGACGTTGTTAGCGTTGTCCCTGGGTATCCGTGGGAGATTGGTTCCACCACCCCCTCCGTCCATCGCGAATACCAGAATCTGTGGGTGTGTACATCCGCAGATAGCACATCCTTGAATATGGACTGGAGACTTTTTGAAGTTGGTTCTTGGGCACATGGACCACCGAAGCGATTTGAAACCGCAACCATACAACCGATTCGGATGATCAGTAACTCAGTTTGGCGGTGGAAGCATTTTTCTGCTAGACCTGCCCGAGGACTTATATATCATCTGTGATAAATGCCATATTGTGTAAGGTGCTCCTAAAAAAAAATTGGGTGCAATTCAGATTTTCCTGCAGTGAATCATTTGCCAAGGCCCTTGGGGAACCCGGCTAACAAGAGATAGACCAGAGAGGGAAGTGGAAGCACCATTTTTTTTTTCCCTCTTTGTGCGGAGATTTTAATTTTAGGGGGTTTGCTTGGAATGAAGTATGCCAACAAATTCTTGTGATGGTGGATATCTGTAAAGTGAATAGGTGAACAAAAAGAAGTGCGTGGACACCCCACTGGAGGTCCTGTGGAAGATTAGGACAGCAAGAGTGTGAGTGAGGAGTCAGGCAGACTCGTTGCAGGGAAGCTGGTTTCTGGATGGGCACCAAAGTGCCATAGCAGAATCCTTTCTTGAGATAATGCCGTTTTCAGGGGGGCTTTGCAAATAGAGGAGTGGCTTTTGGAACACGGAGCAGGTGGGTTGGGCTCGGGGGGAGGGAGGAGGGAACTAACCGTGGGTTATTTAACTTAGAGTATTGTGGAACAGTGTTGTCACCCTGTGCCAGGTTAGCAGTAATCCCAAACTTGTCTAGAAACGAGAGCATGCGTTAGGTTTTGCTTTTTGGGGTTGTTTTTCCCCTCTGAGGATCGAAGTGCTGCTCACCCATTAATAACTTCAAGCCTCGTTGTCAGCATAGTGTCGGAATGCTCCTTGTCCCCACGTCCCAGACAGGACCAGGTTCCTTACGTTTTCTTCCATAAACATGAACCTGGCATCGTCTGTCCTCCCTTTGTCAAGCCTTGTCTTGGGTGTGGCCAGAGTTCCCACTTCCTGTTTTTAGAAAAGCCCAAGGCCCCCTCCTTTCCCGGGAGCTGCTTGGCTGAACCCCTCCTGCAGACGTGAAGGGGTCGGGTTCATGACCCTGGGCCTATTGAGAGACAGCTTAGCTGGACATTCCCTTGTCTTCCTTGATTCTTGGAAGTTGCTTCATGTTTTGTGATGAATGCAGTCAAATGGGCTCCACTGCTGGAAAAGTGTGGGTTCCCACAGACAGATAGGTCTGCAGGAGGGACTGCTTCAAGAGGGAGGGAAAGTAGCTTAGAACAGATTGACTTTTTACAGAATGAGTGTACATTTGCCAAAATCTGTGTATTGTGCTTTCCCGGACCGGATTCCAGCCGCCCGGACAGTTGGAGCCCAGGACCCGCCCCGACCGGATCTCTTCCCTGCTTTCCAATTCAAGTCTCGTGTCACAGTGTCAAACCACTATTTATAAAGCCATTTCCTTTGTACTTGATAACAGTGTGAGTCCCCAAACCCTTAGAAATCAAATAGGAAATGGGCTTGATTGGAATCGGGGATTTGGGGGTCACTGTCTACTTCCACCATCAGAAGCCTCTTTGATGACTTGGAAGGAAGAGCTCTAATGAAGACAGCACCATGAGGTCCCTCGAAATGGCCACTGGGTTTCAACAGGTGTCTCTCCCATGAGCTGATTTCTGGTGAAGTGCAATTTCTGTCACAGTCAGAAAGCTTTGCCACTTTGATCCATGGTGACCTGTGCTATTGAATCACTGGATCATCTGTAGAGACTGGAGGCTATTTTCCTCAGATGTCCATCCTAGCCTGATTCTAGAGAGTTGATTCTGATTCTATAAGAGAAAAAATACAAAATTCTTGGGAAGATGGGCAGAGGGACGTGGGATGGGTGATTTCAGTGTGAGGGGAGGGGGCCGTGAGATCGGAGTTTGGCCACCAGCCTCTGTTGGTAAAGTCGGGGTTCGCCTTCGCTGCCCGTTAGCCCAGACGAGGTACACCAGGAATTCTGGAGGAGGGACCTGGGCATCATTAGGTTTCAAAGCTCCCCAAGTGCTTTCCCTGCATAACTGAGTTTGGAAAACTTAACTTTCTAGATGGCAAGGTGCTGTTGGAGGCCAGGGCTTGGTAACGCAGAGCTGGCTTGCGTGGCAGAAACCACAGCAGACAGTTGTCCCTGGCCCCGCGTGGTCCCAGCTCTGCTGAGGGACATTATGGTTTCTGTCAGGAGCTCCCGGGGCCTAAGACCTCCTGGACGAGGTGCCTTTCTACGCCCGTCGAAAGCTGATGTGTGGTTCGTAAGGAACTGAAGAACGTGTCTGGCTGTTAATGCTCTTCTTTGCACGTTTGTTTATCAAGAAGTGTGGAGAGGGACTTCCAGCAGTCCAGCCCCGTGCTTCTAATGCAGGGGCTGTGGGTTCGATCCCTGGTCAGGGAACTAAGATCCCGCATGTTGCATGGTGCAGCCAGAGAAAAAAAGGCTGGAGAGTGTCACGTCTTTGAAGAGAACCCTGCTCTCCCTTAGAGCTTATGAGTCATGTGAGAAAGAGGCTTCTTCAAGACAGCAATGCAATACTTGTAATTTCTGTAAATAGCCCCATCTTTCAGAGTGATGTCATTTCTACATTTGATATGCTTGTATTTCTGTAGGATGTATATAGTTTAGGGGAATTTTTTTGTTGTTTGGTTTTTTTTTTTTAGAAAAGTCAACATGTCTGTTTTTATTTATTGCTTGAAACAAAGATCATTTGAAGAAAAATAAATACATTTTCGACCACCTCTGGCTTGGTTTATCCTTTCCCAAAAAACTGCCAATATGATGACTTGGAAGATCCGAATCATTTGATGGTAATCTTGTGGAGATGGGCCACTCAAATCTGAGCTCCCTGAACACCATGGAAGGTGCAGGTGAAGGCAGAGAGGAAATCTCTGAGAACTGGGTTTTTTAGACAGGAAGAAGTGAAGGGTAAGACACAGATGTCCTCATGTGAGAGTCTGCTTTCTTTTTAAAAAAATTATTTTTAATTGGAGGATAATTGCTTTATAATAGTGTGCCAGTTTCTGCCTTACATCAACGTAAATCAGCTATAGGTATACATACGTCCCCTTCCTCTTGAACCTCCCTCCCACCCCCCACCCCATCCCACCCCATCCCACCCCTCTAGCTTGTCACAGCATCAGTTTGAGCTCCCTGAGTCATACAACAAATTCCCACTGGCTCTCTGTGTTACCTATGGTAGTGGATATGTCTCAATGCCACTCTCGATTCGTCCCACCCCCTCCTTTCCCCACTGTGTCTACAGGTCTTTTCTCTATGTCTGCATCTCCATTGCTACCCTAAGAACAGATTCATCAGTACCGTCTTTCTAGATTCCATATATATGCGTTAATATACAGTATTTGCTTTTGTAAGTCTGCTTTCTGCCAGGCACAGGATGGAGTGCTAAGGATGGCTGGCCATCTTAAACACAGCACACGTGATCAGGGCTACAACCAGATTGTACTCGGAGTTGCCACACCCTTCCCCAACAATAGCAAGGGGGCCTGGCTCTCAAAATCTTAGGAAATTTTGGAGACCTCGTGTTGCCTCATGTTCTGTTGGGAGCATGGAAATAGCAATTTGCATCAAGGCCAGATAGAATAAATAAATGGACGACTGTGATATAAGGCAGTGGTTCCCTAGTGCTCATTTGGGGATTGGTTCTATCAGATTCAGTTGGTACAAATGTCCCAAAGTGTAAACCAAAATCATGTTAGTAAACATGTATTTTCACTGTGTCATTGTTATCTAACATTATTTTGGAAGTAGTTCAGTTCAGTCGTTCAGTCGTTCAATCGTGTCCGACACTTTGCGACCCCGTGGACTGCAGCACGCCAGGCTTCCCCGTCCATCACCAACTCCCAGAGCTTGCTCAAACTCATGTCCATCGAGTTGGTGACACCATCCAACCATCTCACCCTCTGTCTTCCCCTTCTCCTCCTGCCTTCAATCTTTCCCAGAATTGAAGTCTTGTAATGAGTCTCTCTTCGCATCAGGTGGCCAAAGTACTGGAGCGTGAGCTTCAGCATCAGTCCTTCCAATGAATATTCAGGACTGATTGCCTTTAGGATCAACTGGTTTGATCTCCTTGCTGTC